CTCTAGTTCTTTGGTGCTTCCTTCACCCCGCTATCATGGTCTCAATTCTACCTTACAAATCGGATTAGACCAGAACACGCACACTGCTAGAGATAAGAGCCAGCAACACAGGGAATCAAGGATAGATAAACCCCTCAGGGCCAACAATAAGAGTAGAGATACCAGGAGGATTAGGGGAGGGGAGTGGGAGAAAGGAGGAATTGATCACAAGGATCAAGCTAGAACTACCCCCCAGGGGGACAAATAATGGAAAACTGGGTAAGGGGCGATGGAGGTTGATGTAAGGTATGGAAATAATAATCTATAACTTATCAAGGGTTCATGAGGGAGGGCGGTATAGCCAGGGTGGCTGGAATGGGGAGCTGATATCAGGGGCTCAAGTGGGAAGAGAATGCTTTGAACATGATGATGGCGGCATATGTGCAAATGTGCTTGACACACTGGATGACTGTATGGATTGTGATAAGAGATGTAAGAGCTCCCAGTAAAAGTATTTTTTAAAAATTGCTGCTTAACCAAACAGCCCGAAACTTAATGCTTTGAAGCCACAACCACGCATCACCGATCATGATTTTACATGCCAGCAATGTAGGCTGGGCTTATTGTGATTGTTGTTAGGTGCCCTTGAGTCAGTTGCAACCCACCGGAACCCTATGGTCCAGTCGGTCCTGCGCCACCCTCCTGACTCTTATGCTTGCACCCACTGTTGCAGCCTTGGTGTCCGTCCATCTCGTCTAGGGCTTTCTGTTTTTCCCTGCTCCTCTGTTCTCCCAAGGATTGGTCTCTTCCGATAGCATGTCCAAGTATGTGAGATAAAGTCTTGCCATTCTTGTTTCTGAAGGGCATCTGGCTATCCTTACCTGGCAGGGGAGATACCATGATTATGATGGTGGTTTTCCCAGGGCAGGGCTTATCCATTGCATTCCAGATTCGCTACCCCTGTGGTCTCCCCAACTGTGGGCAACTCGACTGGATGATTTGTGGAATGGGGGGGACTGCATTCATGCTCTCCAATTAAAAAATAAGATAAAATAAAATAAAGAGCATCGGTTGTTCTTTTTCTAAGATAGATTAGTTTGTTCTTTTGGCAGTCCATGGTACTTTCAGTATTCTTTCCCACCACCATAATTCAAAGACTTTGGTTTTCCTTTGGTCTTTTTTATTCAACTTTCACCTGCATATTCCAAAAACCAAACAAGCAAATGAAAAAAACCAAGCAAAAACAAACTCACTGCCATTGAGTCTCGGCCAATTCACTGTGATCCTATAGGACCGGCAGACCTGCCCCTGTGGGTTTCTGAGGTTGGGAGTAGAGCGCATACTAAGTACCACAGCTTGGGTCAGATGCACCTCGGGTCAGATGTCTTCAAAGTGACATCTTGGCTCTTTAAAGAGCAGGAGCCCTGGTACCGTAGTGGTTACTCATTGAGCTGCAACCCATAGTGTCAGCAGTTCAAAACCACCAGCTGCTTCATGGGAGAAAGACGGGGCTTTCTACTCCCCTGAAGAATTACAGTCTCAGAAACTCAGAAGGGCAGCTCTCCCCTGTCCTATAGGGTCTCTATGAGTCGGCATCGCCTGGATGGCAGTGAAATTGGAGTGTTGGTTTTTGTGCAGCCAATTTGCCCAGTGCAATAGCAGCTGGTGTCGTGAGCAGTGATTGTGGATCCAAACAAGACAAAACTCTTTGATCACTTCAGTCTTTTCTCTGTTTATCATGATGTTATCGATCGGTCCAGTTGTGAGGACTCTTGTTTTCTTTACATTAAGGTGTAACCCATACTGAAGGCTGCAGTCAAGGATCTTCATCAGCAAGCCTTTCAAGTTATCTTCTCCTTCAGCAGGCAGGTTGGGTCATCTACATATTGCAGACTGTTTATGTCGGCCTCTAATCTTGATACCGCATTCTTCTTTCTACAGTCCAGCTTCTCAGATCATTAGCTCGGTATCCAGATTGAATAAATCTGTTGGAAGGATACAATCCAGAAGGGTACCTTTCCTGATTCTCTACCACACGGTCTTAGTCTGTTGGAATGTCTGCTTCTTGGTCCAGGCATAGGTTCCACATGAGCACCGTGCAGTGCTCTGGGATTCCCATTCCTCTTAATTCTATGTCAAGGCTACCCACAACTTGTCTTTCTGTCTACCACTTGTCTGTCAGCTTGCCATCCTGTGTGGGCTTGTATGCTATTGGAAGTTTTGTTGCCAGGATTTCAAATACCAGCTGAGCCACCCAAGGTGGAACAGATTGGGCTTAGCAGGGCTGTCTTTCTGGTCTTGCCTGGCTTTTGATGAAGCGCATAGAGAGAAATGAGAGCTGAGTTTCAGGAGGGTGATGCTAATCTCTTTGTGAGACGGGGCTCAGGGGCTTCATCCAAGACCATCTTTCTAACTCTGTCATACTCCCTTCTGCAACCTGTGTTGTGTGTTGGTGAGCAATGGCTTCTCTAGGGCTATAAACTCTCCAAGGGTCATTGGTTGGATTAGGCCACCAGCTTCTTACTTTGTTTTAGAGGAGAGCCCTTCTCTCGCTCCATGGCCCTGTGTGGAAGGCAGCATCAGGGTGCTCGTAATATTGAGAAGACCCAGAAATGCACTGGGCACAGACTCCAGATTCGTTCCCAGCTGTAACTCTGCCCTGCTCTTTCTTCGGAGACTCCTGACGTGCTGTTGCTGGCAGGGTGGAGTTTTGCCTCCCTGAACACTGACAATGCCCCGCTCCATGTTAGAGGTGCTCTTTGGCCTTATTCCCCAGTTTGGCTCTGAGAACTTGGTAGGCAGGTCTGCTTCGCATTGTTATCCAGTTCAGGGCCTTGCAGGGAGTTACCAACTTCTGGGTACATTCTGTCATCCGAAAAGATGTATCACGTGTTGACTATTAAGTTAGATCCTGGAGTTGTAAAGCTAAGGATCCCCATCCTCTGCCGCCTTTTCACACATACCTTCCCGGTTCCAGGAAACCAAAAAGGCAGGACACCAGGGTAGGGGTCATAGTTCTCTTGCGGCTGCAGAACGAAGGCTCGGCCTAGCTGTTGGCGCAGCAGGCGGGTTACCGCCCTTCCTTAGGCCTTGTTTTGTGTAGGCTTTTTGTAGAAAAAGCAGGGCTTCTGGTGTCAGATACACCTAGCTTTTAAGCAAAGGAATCTTGGGATGCGAATCTGTGTGACACAAAGAACTGCAGGCAGGGTCTTGGAGCCAGGCCCCCTGGCCCCCAGCCTCTGCTTTGTCTCCTAGTGGCGATTGGATCTCCCAGAGGCTGGCTTTTGGTTCTGTGATGTGGGAATCACGATGTGTGCCCAAGGTGTCTGGGGAAAGTGTCTGTAATCATATTTTAAAAAGTGGAAATGTGGAGTTCGGAGCACAAAGTAGGGAGGGATGAGTGTGGCTGAGTATTTTGACAGATGCCCTTGAGCTGAGGGTGGTGTTAGGGGTGGGGTGATAATGGAGGGTGAAAATGAGTATGAGGGGTTGCCTGGATAGTAATATATATATATTATGGTATATATACAATAGTAATATATATTATAATATTTACATATATAGGTATATTGAAATATATATATATATTTCAATCCCAAAGTTGCTTGGTCACCCTGGATTGGCATCAGGGAAACAGTCAGATTACCGCCCCTCCCCAGGAATGCCTCCCCAGGCCTGCTGGCTGGGGCCTGGCCTGCCCTGTTCGGTGTAGACCCTCAAGGACCCCAGCAGCCGTCAATGGACCTGGGTTGCTGGCCTGTGTCTGCCCTCCGTGTCCCACGAGTCTGGGCCTGTCTCTCCTTTTGCAGTGCGTCGTTCGAAGGCAGCAGATGAGGAGAGGAGCCGCCGTGCCCAGCGCGCCCGCGATGAGTACCAGCGCCACTCGCTCCGTGCCATCCAGAAGGGCACCGTCGCGGGCCTGAGCTCCAGGTTCCAAGAGCTTGGTCAGAGCCACCAGCAGGAAGCAAGACTCTACCACCATCTCTCGGACTCTGTCCCGCCTCTGTCCCTCCAGGGGCCTGTCAGGTGGGTGCGGCCTGGGGGGAAAGGCTTTGGACTGGAGTGGGGCGGGTCAAGGGGATGGTGCAGCTTCAGCTCTGGCCCTGACTAGCGTGAACGTCTGGGCCAGCATTATCCTTTCCGTGAGTCTCAATTTCCCAGCTTGTGTCATAGGGGTGGGAGGTGGGGAAAAGGGCCCAGGAGCCCAAGGTTTCTTACAGCTCTGGAGTTTGGGGACAGGACTCGCCTTATTTGAAATCATGTACTTTTAGGGGGATCTGAAGAAAGCTGTGCACAAGCCCCGCCCCCACGCACATATGGACATATCCCCAGAGTTTGCATGCAATGACAGCTTCTTTAATGTCCGTACACGCCAAATCTTGTCATACAGGACTTCACAGAGGTTCAGTCTGGCCTGCGCAGGAGGGCTGACTGCTCAGTGCATCCGCTGGCGATGCTGATCTCCTAGCAGGTTGGCAGATGAGCCTAGGGGTTGAGTGTAGGAGGGTCCTGACTCGCATTTGCCTGCCCAGGGAGCCGGAGGGTCAGACTGCTGAGAGGATAGTCACCTGGCTCCCTTCCACCTTGTTTGGAACGCCAAAGGTTTATCTCCTTCTGCCCTCGCCATCACTGCTGGGTAGCCACTTTACCCGATGAGGGCCCAGGGTTGGCGGGTGAGCGCGTCTCCTCTTTTCGAAGCTAGTCTGAGTGTTGCCAAAACTGGGATTATTCATACTTCTACTCCCTCCCTGGAGTCTAGAGAGAGCTGACTGCACCGTCATTCCCGTCCGTCTAGCTTCCTCATTTAGGAGACTCCAAAAGCCTAAAACGGTACCCAGAGAAAGGTCTGACTCCTACCCTTGCCCTCCATCTCCTAAACTCCCTCTCCCCGTAGGTACCCGCTCTGCTGAGTTTCCTAAAGACTCTCTACCCCCACCCCCCCCAACTCCTTTCTTTATTTTTCCCCCCACTGTGATGGAAAGATAGCCTATACTCCTTGCTTTTTACTATTGGCATCAGTGCAACTCCTTTTTTCAGTGTAATTAGTTCTTTATCATACGCTACCTCTTGAACTGGTTGACGATAGACCAGTTCTTTTAGGTACAGTGGTTGTGTATTCTTTTCATCCTCTGTTGCTCCTTCCTGCACCGTCCAATCGTTTGCTTATAGAGTCCGTCAGTACTATACATCGAGCCTTTGATTTTTTTCCCTTTAGATTTTCAGTGCCAGACTGCTGAGCATCTTCTGTCCTTTTGGCTTTCCGACACTGGCTCTGTGCATTCCATTCATTGTGATGACCTCCTCTGTCTTCTAGAGCTGCTTTTTCAATATCCTGCTCAACCCGTTGAGTCCCTCATGTCTGTCCTTTGCTTTAACTACTCTCCTTGTTCAAGGGCAAGTTTCAGAGTCTCTCCTATATCCATTTTTATTTATTTTTCCTGCCTTTCTGGAGCTGTTTCATTTTTGTTATGCTTGCTGTTCTTGACACCATGCCACACCTTCGCTGGTCCTCCCTCGTTAGTGTCCAGTATGTCCGACTTGTTCTCCAGATGGACTGCCCAATAGAGTGGTGGGCTTCCCACTCGACAGAGCAATTAAGCTGAGGGTTTTAGTGCTTGGGGCTGGCTTGTGGAATGAGGTGCCACTGGGCACTTAATTGGGGGAGCTGGGCTTGCTCACCCACAGAACTGAAGCTAAGTGCTTTGTGGCTGAACCTTTATGCAGTGGGGGGGTGCCTTAGGGCACATTTTTCAGGGAGCTGGGCTTGCTAACCCATGGAGCTTTGAGCTGAATGCTTTAGGGTCGAGGCTTCTGGTGGAGAGATATGCTCCTTTGGGAATTTATTAGCAGATCTGTAAAACCTTTGTAGTATGTGTGATAAACAACTCAACCCTGAGAATTTCTCACTGGCACTGCTACTTGTGAACTTCCTAAATAAACCCTTTAGTGATGAATTTTGTCTGAGTTCTGTGTAGCCATTGCAATGGATATTAGAACCCAGAGGCATAAAATAGAGAATATGAATTAAAATAACGTA